TATGAACCCTATAAAATCTATATCAAGGGGCTGGGGATGTGGCTCAAGCGGTAGTGTGCTCACCTGGCATGGGTGCGGCCTGGGTTCAATCTTCAGCAACACATACAAACGAAGATGCTGTGTCAGCCGAAAACTAAAAAATAAATATTAAAATTCTCTCCCTCTCTCTCTCCTCTCTTCTCTCTCTCTCTCTCTCTAATAAAATAAAATAAAATCTATATCAAGATTCACTCTTTTGCATGTGAATTCCCAGTTATTCCAATATCATTTGTTGAAATGACTATCCTTTCTCCATTGAATTGCTTTTGTTTCTTTGCCAAAGATCAATTGACATGAATGAACATGTGAATCATCTGACTCTACTTTGTGTACAACTAGAGACATTAAAAATTGTGTTCTATATGTATAATATAAATTGAAATGCACTCTGCTGTCATGTATAACAAATTAGAATTTAAAAAAGGTCAATTGACAGTATGGATATAGGTCTACTTCTGGTCTCTCTATTCTATTCTATTGGTCTATTTGTTCTTTTGCCAATATTGCACTATTTTTAATTATTGCAGTTTTATAATAATAAGTCTTAAAGCTGGATAATATGAGTTCTTTAATTTTGTTGTTCTTCTTCAGTACTGTGTAGACTATTCTCTCATGTTTGGTCTTTGACTCTAGTCCTATCACAGAGCTCTTAAGATCTTTGTAATTTCCTGAATTATAGAGGCATCTGACACAGAACTCCTAAATCCCTTGGAATTTCCTGGGTGATAAGAACATCTTTTGTTCTTAGGCAACTCTTGGTGGGCTCTTGTGTGGGGGCTGGTTACCAGAAAGACCAAGCCATGATTAGAGGCTGGGAACTCTCTGCTCCATCCCGTTTTCTGGGAGAGGAAAGGTGGAGATGAAGTTAATAAGCAATCATGCCTTCCTAAAAATCTCTAAAAGATGGGGTTTGAAGAACATCCAGGTTGGTGAGCACATCCATAAATGTGGGCAGTGGTATCCCTTAACCCTACAGGGACAGATGCTCCTGTGCTCAGACCTCCCCCTATATACCTCTTCATCTGGTTATTCATCTGTAGACTTGTAATATTCTTTATAATAAATGGGTAAAGATGTTTCCCCGAGTTCTGTGAACCATTCTAGCAAATGACTGAATCAAAGGAGAGAGTTGTGAGAAGCTCCAAGTTACAGCCTTGGTTGTAATCACAGGTGACACTGGATTTGCAACTGGCAACTCATCTCATATTGGGGGAGGAACAGTCTTGTGGGACTCCACCCTTAACCTGTGAGGTCTGTGGTAACTCCAAGTAGACAGTGTCAGAATTGACTTGAACTGTAGAGCACTCAACTGGTGTTGAAGAACTGGTTAGTGTGAGAAAACCTTCTACACACCTGATAGCAAAAATGAAGTTCTAGAAGTACAGAGTGCCATGAGTGAGAATACAAAACAAAACGGCTTGCTTTTCTCTGTACTCTGGCCTTTCCATTTAAACTTTAAAATTACTTTATCAATATCCACAAAATATCTTACTAGGATTTTTATTGGGATTATGTTAAATTTATAGAACACAATAGGAAGAACTGATACTTCAACAACATTGAGTCTTCTTATCTGTGAACATGGAATCTCCATTTATTCAGATATTTCTTTTATCAGATTTTTATAGTGTTCTTTATATGGATCTTGTATTTTTTGTTAGACTTATTCTTAAGTACTCTTTTTTTGGGCGCCAATACAATTGGTATTGTTTTTCATTTCAAACCTCAGTTGTTCTTTGATGGCATCTAGGACAGCTTTTGTATATTTTAACCTCATATTCTGTGACCTTGCTATAATCACTTATGAGCTGCAGGGCTTTTGTTTTATTTTTTCCTTCAATTCCTCATAGCAATCATGTCACCTACAAAGACAGTTTTATTTCTTCCTTTACAATCTGAATACCTTCATTTCCTCTTTCTGTCTTATTACATCAACTGTGACTCCCAGTACAATGCTGAATAGGAGTGGTAAAAGGAAACATTCTTGCCTTGTTTCTGTCTTAGGGGAAAAAGCATCTGGTTTCTCATCACTAAGGATGATGTTAGCTGTAGGGGGTTTTGCAGATGTTTTTTACCAAGGTGAGGAAGTTCTCTCTATTCCTAGTTTGCTGCAAGTTTTTTCACGTGTGGGGATTGGATTTTTGTCAAATGTTTGTCTGCATCTATTAATATAATCATGTGATTCTTTTCCTTCTTTAGACTACTGATATGACATTTGAGGTTTCAAATGTTGAACCAGTCTTGCAGACATGGCATAATGCCCACTTGGTTATGTTATAAAATCATTTTTATACATTGATAAATTTGATTTGCTAATATATTGCTGAGTATTTTTACATCTATGTTCATGAGAGATATTGGTCTATAAAGTTCTCTTTGTAAAATGTAAATACACTAAGAAATCTCACAACTATCAGTTCCATGTAAGTAGCAATTAGTTTAATCAGATTATTGTTCTTCTAAAACCTAAAACTGTTGGGCACAGTGGTGCACACCTGTAATCCCAGCCAAGGGAGGCCGAGGCAGGAGGACTGAGAGTTCAGAGCCAGCCTTAGCAACTCAGCAAGGCCCTAAACAATTCAGCAAGACCCTGTCTGTAAATAAAATACAGAATAGAGCTGGGGATGTGGCTTAGTGGCTGAGTGCCCCTGAATTCAATCCCTGTACACCCCCCAAAAAAATAAAAATGAAAAAATAATAAAACCTAAAATTGTATCAATTACAATGAGATAAGATATTACTGATAAGAGGGAGCATGGAAAATTATGAAATCAAGGCAGGCTTCAGCTAATTGTAACATCTCAAAAGCAGTTACTAATAGGGCATTATGTAAAATTGTGGATGTGTAACCGACGTGATTCTGCAATCTGCATTTGGGGTAAAAATTGGGAGTTCATAACCCACTTGAATCTAATGTATGAAATATGATATGTCAAGAGCTTTGTAATGTTATGAACAACCAATAAAAAAAAAGAAAAAAGCAATAGAAGGTTGTAGTTTATACACTTTCCTTAGCTTTTAAGTCATGAATCAGGAGAGAGAAGGGAGAAATCAGCCTGAGAGGATATATCAGTGCCTGGGGGAAAAAAAAAATTATAGTTCCCTTTAACCAACTTTGTGGGATACAATAACTTTGTCTGCATTTTAACTTAAAGGTAATATGGTCTGAGTCCCAGGTTCCATGGCCCTTATGAGTCAGAGATATAAGCGAGGTTCTGTGGTATTGAAGTTTTTCTCTACCCAGGCCTGCTCCACCAACAAAAATAAACTCTTCACATACTGCTACTACAGTTCTTTCCATTTCATTAATACAATTTAAAAAACAAAAGTGCACCTTATTTAGTAGCTTTTCCAGTCAATAGTTTCTAGACTACTCCCGTTTCTTCTTTTGGACAACTTGTTTAATTGGCTCAAAATTGAACTATTTCTGATGGAATAAATCTGACTTAGCTGAGGGGCAGGGGATAGGAAGGCCAAGGAACAGTAACCAGCATCCTCTGCTTGAAAGGGGACAGAGGCTTTATCTATAGACAAAGAATGTTTGGAAGAACTGAGAAGTAATGACAAGCCCCATGGAGCCATTTTAGGGACAGTTCTGTCACCAGAACATGTGATGTCTACTGTTGTCTTTAGGGGGCTGAGTACATTCAGAAGGTATACAGAATGTATCCTCTGAGTATCCCCCAAATTAACAGTACTTTAAAAACAGAATACAGTAAGGGAGGGAGGAGGAAAGGAAAAGGGGAAATACTGGGGAATGATACTGGCCAAATTATATTATTATATATGCATACATACATACATATATATATATATATATATTTTACATGTATGTTTATGTAATAATAAATCCCACCATTATGTACAAATATAATGCACCAATAAAAAAGATGAAGGCCCTGTGTGGTGGCACATGCCTGTAATCCTTTGACTGCTAAGGCAGGAGGATCACAAGTTCAAGGCCAGCCAGTCTCAGAAACTTAGTGAGACCCTAAGCAACTTAGCAAGACCTATCTCAAAATAAAAAATAAAAAGGGCTGGGAATGTGGCTCAGCAGTTAAGCACTCCTGGGTTCAATCCCCTACTGAGAAAGAAAGAGAGAGAGAGAAAGGAAATAAAATAGAATATAGTATGTTGAGTGGGTTTTTACAAATGATATTCTTAACTTAATGCTGACCCGAGACAAAGAGAGAAAAATCTGATTCACAACATGGAAGTGTCAAGAACTCAGCAGAGAAAGTGAATAGAAACAAGGAATAAAAGCTGTGTAGTCTCAAATGTGCTCAACTCTAAGAAAGGAAATTTCAAAGAGTATACAAAAAGCATAAGAGGAAAAAGTCAATATATTTTGATAGCTACAGTCTCTGGAAGTAACTCCATTGGAGTTGGTAATATCTGAAAAAAAAAAAAATCAGTGGTCTCCAAGGTAGCTCAGGTTTTAGAAGACCACCAATCAAGAAAGGAATAGATAAATAAGTAGAAATTTATAGAAGTAGATACAAACACTAGCCATGCATGCCTCCTTCATTCTTCCACTACTCTTTGCCTACTCAGTTCCTTCCAGTACCAGCTCACCTCTCTTCCACAAAGTCTTCTCCTACCCTAACACTGAACTCTCCTTTTCCCAACTCTATGTATTTGGCAATTACTCATGGACTTCTTTGCCTCCCCGATTCAGATTAATCTGTGAGACTACAGGACTCATGTCACATATATCTTGGTGTCCTAAAACATGCCTATCAACAATGCCTATCAGAGTAGATGATAAATAACCAAGTGCTGATTAAGACAAAGTCAACTAGAAATGAGTGTTCTTGAAGGGAGAACAGGGTAGATATAAAGGACACAGACTTTGAGCATGCACTGTGAGCTGCACTAATACCCAAACCAATTCAAATCAATTATATAACAAGTAGAATGAATAGGTACAGTCAACTGAAATTGTAAAAATAGCACAGTACCTGTAGGAGACTTTCTATGGCATGAAAGCCGCGAATTAAATTCAGAGCTCCACATAAAAGACTAAGTATAAATGCCACAATCCCTGACAGAGTTGCTGGTTCCAGTCGCTGGTGAGCTGTTAATAAATAAAAGAAATAAAATAAATAAATAAAAGAAATGGTTAGGAAAGAATACTATATCTCGTGTAGTTGAACTAAAGGCTAAACAGAAATTTATTACTCAATTTAAATGGGTCAAACCCAAGCAATTTTATACAATGTATCTTAGCAATTGTTCTTTAAAATGCAAAATGTTTGACAATAAGAAAGCTTCATTCCCCTGAACTCAAATCAAATTAACTTCCTTTTTCTGTATTTTTTAACAAAGACATCTAACTTGCATTTGGGATATATAATTATAATAAGCACTCACATCTGGCAGTAAATCATTTAGGAAAAAAACTGTCTTACTATGTCTTCTGTATGCAAGTAAGTGCAAATATCACCAAGGTGACTTTGCTTGAAAAGTCATCACATAATTCCTGCTTTTTTCTACAAATGATTAGAAAACATTTTTAAGAATAAACGCAGTTTGCTTTTAAGCAAAGCTTCTCCTTATTTGGATCTCAGGGCTATAAATATCACTGGATATATGTGAAAGCACATATATATTCACCAATCAGAACTTCATAACAGAATGTGCTCTTATAGGTGTGAGATTCTTGGTCCTCTGAATACCACTTGAAGGCAAAAATGATAAAATACCAGCTGCAGAAGTTATCACTTTATCTTAACAAATATATTCCCTCATCTTCAGGGCTTCAGTTTTATAACAGCTTCCCTTCATCATCATTTTGCACTAGTAGAATTAACAATAGTCTAAATGAAAACACAAAATTAAATACATAACCAATAAATCTCATTAGAGAGACAGCAAAGAGAGGACAACAGAATCACATTTTGATTATTTTATTTAAACCATTGAAGTGTAAAAGCCCAACAATGAAGTTAATGAGGTGGAACATTAATATAAGGATGGACTTAAATCTTTCCAAATTATATTCAGCCATTACAGCAGAAAAGCTTCCCCAGTTTATAAAATCAAAAAAGACATAACACAAAAAAGTATTTATTTTTCAAGTTCAGCAGAACATATGGGGATAACATTTCCTTAAATTTCTTTTGTGCCCATGCCTGGCCTCCCAATCAATTTCCTTGAGGTTTTAATATGAAAATAGGCAATCAAATATCTCTGTAAGTAGTGGTACCAAGTCTTTTGTCAGTGGAAAAAAACTACCTCACATTTTAAAGCCTACCTAATTGTTCTACCAATTAGTCATATTCTACAGCTTCCCACCCTCTCCACCCCCTCTCAGTGAGCAAGAGGAAACTGACCTTAATTTTAAAAAGAAATTTTTAATATGGGCCTCAAGACTAAAACCAACTGACAACTAAATATATTATGTAAATCACACTTCTAAAGTATACAAAATGAGTTTACCTTACTAAAAAAAAAAAAGCAAATAATATTCTGCACTATAACTAAAAATTCCTATACAGTCAATTAGGTCTGGTTAGTCTTCAACCATTTTCAAGTGTTGATGAATACCTATTTAAGAAATGAATAAGTCTATATAAATTAAATATTTATTGCATTTCTAACACTTGCCTTCAGCCCTAGAGCACTCTCTTTATAATAATAGTATACCATTTATGAATTAATTATTTCAGAATAACCAAAACTATTTTTAAAGGCATAAAAGCAAATGATAGGCCTCCTTTAACAAGGACAAGGTATGCATTGTGCTCAAGGACAGCCTGACACTCTGCCAAATCACTGTGGGAAAGAAATTCTAAAGTGGCAATTTCCCTGCTTCCACCCTCACCCTCTTCCCAAGACCTGTGGCTTGCATTCTGAAAACAGTTATCAAGAAAATTTCATCTACACACAACACAAAGCGGGGGATGGGGGGGACACACCTACAAGACAATTTCCCACTTTAATAACTGAATTAGATATCTGACCATATTTTAAACTAGCTATCACTGTCATTTTTTACTTCAGTAAAATTTTGTTATCCAAAAATGCTTATTGTACAATTTTGTTTGGCACCATACTAGGCACTATTAGGTGCAGAGTGCATGTGGAACAATAACAAATGAGAAGCAGTGTAGGGAAAAAAAATAGTTTTGCTGGATCCAAAGCAGTGTCACCTGGATGAGTTTTGTTTTGTTGCTACCATCTTCTGCCACAATGCCTTCTCCTTAATTAGCCTCATTGAGCCCAATGGCATTTTCATAACAAAATTAAATTTCTCTCAAAATATACCAATGATTTACAAAGTTTGTAAAAGTTCTTAAAGAAGCAAGATGAAATTCCTTGGAAACAGGGATATTGGTAGAGCGACTTCAGGAATGCTGAAGAGGAAATAAAATGAGGAAAAGCAAGGAAAATCTTTGAAGATGGATAAAATAGAATCAGGCATAAAGGAGAGGAATACTACTCCATGCAGAGCATGGAACATGAGCATTGAAATGGAAATGGGAGAAACTCATAAAAGCTTCAACACTTACTACTTCTACCACTACCACTAATAGTGATTACTCTCCATGTGCCAGGCACCAAGTGCTTTGAATGTATGAGCTCATTTCAGTGCCAGGCACCAAGTGCTTTGTATGTATGAGCTCATTTCATCTCTCCTACAACCCAAAGCAATAGGCACTATAATTATCCTGTTTTTGTTTTTGTTTTGTTTTTTCAGAAGAAAAAACTAAGATTTGGGGAAATAAACTAATTTGCTCATGGACACAATGTATGTAAGCTGAAATTTAAATCCAGGCAGCCTAACTTTAGACCCCGCCCCACGCACTTCCCACCTCTCCACTTCTTCCCTCCCTTTGTTTGTTACTGGCAGTCCTGAGAATGGAACCCGGAGCCTTGCACAGGCTAGGCAAGTGCTCTATTACTGACCAATATCCCAGCCCAGAACTCATGTTCTTAGCCATTCTGCTATAGGGCATTGCTAGTGGTTTTGTTTGGCTCAAAGGGTTGTTTGTGAAGAGTAGGGGGAAATAAAATCAGAAAGGGAACTCAAGGAAATTAATAGTCTGAAGTAAAAGGCTAAGAATTATGGGAAATTACATAATGGAGTAACACTGAAGAGCAAGAGACTGATACGGTTAAGGCAATGCTTAAGCATATTAATTTATTAATGGGTTTTAAAGAGATTAGAAGTAGGAAGAGAGAAACAATACTTTCTGAGTGCCTCCTCACTAAGCACACATCCTCTCATTTATCCTTCAAAATGGAATGCTTCATCAGACAGGAATGAATAACTGCTCTGTACCTAAAATTTTTCATTGGTAAATTGAGGTAAGTAATTTGCTATGTCAGATAGCTAGTAAGGGCCATCTTCTCAATTAGACCTTAGGTCTATCTAATTGCAAAGTCCCTGCTCTTTTTACAGTTTTTCAGTAGTGAGCGCATAAGGAGGAAGTCACTGCAAAAAAACTGACAGAGGGCCTGAATTATGATAGTGACAGTAGAAAGGGCAAACAAGAAAGAAGAGACATCATGGAAGTTAAAACTATTAGACTTGGCAACTAATTAGATGTGGGAAATTAAAGGGAATTTTATAAAATGAAAGTGATATTGGCTAAAATATATTGTTACATTGTACAATATATGCAATAACAAATCCCATCATTATGTACCACTGTAATGCACCAATAAAATATGTAAAAGAAAAAACAAACAAACAAAATGCCAAGTTTTATTCTTGGTGTCTAGGAAGATAAGGTGCTAGCAACTGATCCACAGAAAGAAATGAGAATGTTTTGAACATACCAAATTTGGGGGGAAGATGAAGCCCATTTAAATAGCAATTTTCAATTGCTTTTCAAGTGGAAAAGTATTAGCACTGGAGAAGCAAATGAGGTCTGCACCTGAGGGGAAGGGTTTAGATGAGATTACAAAGGAAAAAGCAGGCTGATGCAAATCTTTTGTAGAGACTGCCATTCAGTACAGGTAAAGAGTCTGGGAAGACAAACGTGGAAGAACCAGAAAAGTAAAGAACCATAAAAAAATGTAGCAAAGGAAGACCATCAAGAAGAAAGATGGAGCTAACAGTGCCTTTAGACAAGTCAAAGAAAAATCTGAATTTAAAAAAAAAAAAACTCCTAGATTTATAAAATAATTTAAGTAGATGAAGGGAAAATTCATAGGCTGGGGTTGTAGCTCCGTGGTAGAGCACTTGCCTAGCATGTGTGAGGCACAGGGTTTGATCCTCAGCACCACATGTACAACAAATGAAAATGCATTCTCTTTTCACATATACCTAATTAAAATAAATTAATTAATTTTAAAAGAAGATAGATAAATAAATAAATAAAAGTATTATGTCCATCTACAACTAAAAAAAAAATTTAAAAAAAGTCAAATAATCACAATGCTCATACAATGCTTACGGGAATGTAAAATGGCAACTAACTCCAGAAAACCGGCAATTTCTTAAAGACTTAAAAATGCTAATAACCTTTTGACCAAGCATTGCACCCCTGATATTTACTCAAGGGAAATGAAAAACATCAATAAAAGATGAATGTTCACTGTAGCTTTATTTACAATAACCAAACACTGGAAACAAACTAAAGGCCATCAGCAAAAAATGAATAAACAAGTTGTGGGATGTTCACACAATGGAATACTTCTTGGCAATAAAAGGAGATATGCAACATGTATGACATTATGCTAAGGAAAAGAAGTCATACACAGGAGTCACACAATATAATCTTGATTATATGAAGTTCTAGAACAAACAATATGAATATAAACTGAAAAGAATCAAAATGGTGGTTTATCTAGAGAGAAGTCAAGTCTGGGAAGGGATATAAAGGAACTTTTTTATCTTTTTTACTTTTTAAAATTATTTACGTATTTCACAGAGGAACTTTCTATGGGAGATGTAAATGTCATATATTTGTTAAAGAGGCAGACTATGGAATACAGTAATCATGTCATTTTATTTCTGATACTTTGAAATTTCGAGGCCTTGCTGACCCTGAGGGACAGCCTCTTCCAGGGTTAGCCAATCTGGCAAACAACTTGCCCAAGTAGGCCTCACACTCTCAACCACCT